GTATAAATAGTATTTCATTATACTTGTGATTGTATTTGTTTTTGGTTGTTTCGTGAAATTAGATAATCCACCTTTCACATTTGGTGATCAAGATTGTAAGCCCACAGGGAAATACGAATATTTTGTGATTAGTTGTACATATGTGTATGTGTGTGTGTGTTTGTATGTGGAAAAAATGCTATTGTATCAGTTGGTTAACAACGCTATAGTTGGAGTATATCTTTTTGATTCAATATTACTAAAACTAATGTATCATGCAATTATTTTAACAACTCAAATATTAGTTCCAATGATATTGAATCAAGAAGATTTATGGCGCTAGTTTTATCGATACAATAGGATTTTTCCGTGTATGCTAATCCTTTGCACTCGAAGCCATTTTCATCTTATTCATTCAACGATTCGAAGCTATCCATGAGTGTATGTATTCATGAAGCCTGTGAGGTACCGTTTAAGCTGTATAAAATACTCTTCTTGTCTCTTGTGAAGCAGCACTCGAGTGCAAATGGTTAATCGTATGCATTATATCCCAGAACAAATTCTTCGCGGTTTCTCAGAGCTCTCTGGAGATTCGTAAACTTAAAGTTGAAAGGGAGAAGAAAAAAGATAATATCCGTCTCTTTGCGCAAAACATTGGACCGTCCTATCGTCGATACGCTGAAGTCACGTCACTTGGGAGCCGAGGAATATCGGACAGACGGCTGCGGTAACGAAAGGTTACAAGAAGGGCGCCGTCGTAGATTTGCCGCTCCGTTAAATCGGATGCAAAGTGTCACGATCGTATCCCCGCTGTTTTTATTTCAAGAAGACGTGCCCGAATGTCACCGTATGCGTGATGCATGCCCTTTACGCGTCCTGCCAAGACTGGGGGCGATTTCGATCGAGAGGGATTTATGGGAATTCACTCGGTGGAATTGGAAATGTTTCCCCGTTCGCCGAGGAAGAATTAAAATAGAATGGAAAAGGGCTGGAAAAGGAAAAACCCGAACGCTCATCGGCATTCTAAAGTAATCTCTGACGTCGAAGATCGCAAGCTCATAATTTTGCAGTGTAACTTCCCGTTAATTCTTCTCGATTCGTTTGACTCTTTTTTTCAGAATTAAGTTCGCGATACGGCGCTGGACGGAATGAATTAAAGAGTTGCGAGAGAAACGCTCGATGCGAGTTATGGGCGGTACAGAAAAAGGGGCAAAATGAAGAAGGAGGTCCGGCGGAGAAGAGAAGCGAAATTTATTGCGAGCAACTTTTTATCTGACAAATCTCAGGGGCGGGTCTGATTGAGGGATGCGTCGCCCTTTCGCGAGGCCACTGTAGCGCCGTAACATAGAATTATCGACGGGCCTGCTTAATGATTTTCCTGCATCCCCTCGTTGCTCATCCAATCCTTTTAATCCTCCTGGCGAGAAGCGAGAAACACTTGTAACGTTGCGGGATTAAAACGCGTCGATTAATCTTTGCAAATGAAATCGTTGGTGGGAATTCATTACCGGATATTACGCAACGAAATTAATCGCGAGATATTAAATTGCCGCCATTATTCTTAACACGAGCGCAACGCTCGTAGCGACTTACGGGTCAACGATAATGCAAGCGACGGAGTCCTTCGGCCATCCTTGACTACCTCGAGGTGAGCGGAAGATATGATTCTTTATCAGAGATGCGCTCACGTGTATGTGTATGTGTGCGATCGTCGAGGGGAAGGACGAAAAGCGGCACAAAGATTCCTATGTAGGAGAAAGGAGCGCTTTGAAGTCGCGCATCGGGATTCCCCGACTTCCTGCACTTCGTCGGAACGGTCGCGACAGCGAATTCGATTTTCTCGAGATTCCGAAGCGTAAAGCCATCTCGAGGATGCTAGCAGGAAAATTAGCCGCCCGATTGGCTGCGAATACGAGAACTCCGGCTCTTGTATACGTGGACGAGTTATTTCGTGCCGAACGAAGACGCGTCCGTTGCAATTTCGAGGATTCTGAAAAGGAGCAGCCGTTTTACCTTCGTCTTAGATCGTCGCTAAGATCCTAGATACTCTCCTCATCTCGTGCGAGCGTGTAATTAATTCCAATATAAAATATATAAAATACTTATAATCAATACATTTTTCTAACTTATTTTTAGCTTTTTTAAATGCCAAATTCTCCCATGCGTCCGATGCTCAGCGAACTGCTTCTTCGATCCCGAAATGATAAAAACGCGGAGTTTCATTTCGCAGCCCGCTTGGCCATCATCGTCCTGAGACGCGTTAGCTATTACGGATCCTGTAACGTGGCCGGTTAAAAGCGGGCACCGTAAAAGCGAGCGGGCAGGAGGCGAACAGTATGCGGTGGATATGCATTCTGACAGAAACCGGCGGCGTCCTGTGGGAAATACGGGCGACTTCCTGGCATTATGTGCGCGCCGGGTGTGAGGAAATTTAATATCTGAATCGACATTGGCGGCTACTCGAACTCCTCACGGCCGACAGGGACCGTCGACTGTTGATGTGACCGACCGGTATCGGTTCGTTTCTGTTCCCAAGGCGTTTGTTTGCTGTCTCGTTCGCGTGGAAAATGCCGAGGTATCTCCCGTCGCACGACTCGCTAGCATATTTTTAACTGGATCGAACCGTGTCGCATCCAAGGCTGGCGATCTCCATCCAATTCCGGCAGGCAGCGAGACGAACTCAAGTCCCGACGCCGGTCGTCTTGGAGCTGTCGATGTTGGAATTACTCCGAGTAGCCACGGCTGTCGAAACGACTGTTGTTAGAAGCGGCGAGAAAATCGGAAGTGACGGGGAGAGAATCCGACGACTCCGATCGTAAATAACTTCCGACACTCGAGCGATCCATGTTGACCTCTGGCTGGAAAAGCGTGTATCTCCGCGTTATGTGTTTTCCGGGGAAAAAACACACACACGCATAGAGGGCACTTATTAATTTCTATTTGTTTTCCACGCATCCCTTGGGCTTATATTTGTATAACGTGTTTTTTCTTGCTTCAATTCGTAAAATACATTGGTTCGGTTCGATTGTTTAGATCGGGGACATCCCGTTTGCCCTCAAGTACGATTTCCCGGCCTCGTAAAATTCCGTGCCCGCGGATGTTTAGCTTTGCATCCAGTTTGAAGCGCGCGGCAAGCCCTTCTCGTTTACCTCCTCCCCCAACATACCGTCGAGAAAATATTTATCTCCCTCCGATCGGGGAGAGCATTTTGTGCCCAATTCACGTCGATCGTCGTTAATTAAGAGAACTGGCGTCGTAGCTTCTCCCGATCGAGTATTTATCGTTTCTTTCGGCCGTGAGGGGCGGAAAGGGAAGGCAGGTGTCCCTGTCGATCCGATGGACCCTTCGGAACAAATTCGTCCGAGACCGCCAACCTGCGCCGGTCCCCCGACGACACTTTGGGGACGCTTTTTCACGACTCGCCGCTTCCCGGCTCTTTCTGCTCGTTGCAACGAGTAGATTAAAACCGATCGGGAGAGCGACTCCGTGAACTTTGTCGCCCTCTCTCTCTTTCTCTATCTATCTCTTTCTCAGTGTAACCCGAGCCAACCTCGGTCTTCCTCAGAACGATTCCGACTCTGAATTCGCGTAATCCTTTTTGGCTGCATAACCAGGTTTGCAAGTTTTACTCTCTTCTCCTTCTCTGCCCCCTTCACCACCTCCTCCTCCTCCTCCACTTTCTCATGCTATTGTTGTTGTTTTTTTTCGCGGGGGAAGGGAAAGCAAACGCGCGTACGACGATATATCAGTGGTAGCGGTGACGACGGTGGTATATCGCACTTTGTGTTCCACAAAGCCAGCGAGCTGTAACTCGTTGTGGAACGTGGTTAACGAAACAGTCGAGGTTCTGTTGCTCTCTGTAACGTCATACAAACAAACGAATCGCGTGTGAAAATGCAATTGCGGCACAATTGCGGATTACAGTTTTTGCGCCGGACTGCTCGATGCGCGAATCGACTCTCGTTCTCTCTCTCTCTCTCTCTCTCTCTCTCTTACCTGGATACGCTACGATCGCGATGTCACCGTCTGCGTTACGAGGTTTGATGGCGGATGACGAAAATACAGACCGCGCGCGTTGTCAATTTTTCATCCACGCTTCGCTGCTATTTTTCACGGGGTTCGCGAAAATAAAATAAGAGCGTTCGGCTTTTCCGACGACGAACTCGATTGTTGCTTTCGTGATCCATCGAAGCGCGAACGCGTCCATTTAGCGAACACGATGGTGAAACCGAGACCATTATAAAGCGATTTAGTTCGGAAGTAGTTAGAGCACGCGGTGGTCGGACCGCCGCGACTTGTCTCAATTTACGGGGACGACGCTCGCATTCCGCGGCCCGCTCCGGCGGCGCTAATTTATATTAATTTTAGACGCGTATATATCCGAATTAACGTGCCCGGCGCTCCCTCGTGCTGCTTTTTCAGCATTCCTGCGTGGGACGACTCGCTCGCGCCGCGAGCTTTCGACGCCGCGCCGCCGAAATTCGAGTGACAAATATCAAGCGAAGTCGACGCGGAAATAAACCAACAACATCTCTCATCTTTCTCTTTCCCCCTCCTCTCTCTCTCTCTCTCTCTCCCTGCTTCGTCAAAGGCAATTTTTGCAATTTTCGTGATGATTATTGCGGAAGCTCTTCGTGAAAGTTTTACTTCGCAAAAGCGTATCTACAATTTGCAGATTAGCAATTTGTTATTTTTAGCGGGCGCATTGTTTCAACACAATTACGAATGTGTCTCTATCGGAGACAGACGCGAAACGCTGCATTCCGAATTGCGTAGCGGTGCAACACGGCGGGGTGCAACGCGATATCGAGCGGCAGTCGAGCAAAAGCCGCGATATGCAGGTCGATGATTCGCCCGCTGTGCCGAGCGTCGCCGCCGCGGTGCTCGCGCTGGCTCGCGCGACGGCGGCGCGTGTCCGCGCGCTCGCTCGCGCGCCTGCGACGAATTAATGCATCCCCGGATGCATGCAAATTCCTGCCGACACGCTCACTGAAGGCCGTCTCTGTTCTGTCTGTTTGCAGATCCCGCATATCCCGCGATCACACGAGCATTCGTCGCACATCCACAATGGCCGTCTGTTTATGGTGAGTGTGCGTGTACGAGTATATACGTAGGTGTGTGTGTGTGCGTTCGTTATGACAGTAATTTGTGCAGACGAACCGACGACGGACGATCAATCGTTGCGCTCCCGAAATATATTCGGGCTGAAACCGGGAGGCGATGGTCCCGTGCCGGAAGCGCTTCATCGAACGTTTATCGCGATTCGCGCGGGGACGCGAATTCTTCCGAGCGCAAATTTTGCAGCCGCGGGAATGGGCACTTCATTCGCGCATCCCAATACATTCTCAAACGCGATAGATCAGGGGGACGCAGTAGCAGACGAGAAATAGTGTCGGCGCGGACTATCCGGTCCTCCGGCGCTAAATCATCTCCGGCGACAAGAGACGTCGTGAAGCTGAACTCTCTTAAATCCGTCTTATCCGGTGAGTTATGACTATGCGACAATAGCCGCGCGCGAGTTTCTCTCGGAACGCGCCTAAGCTTTACATCCGTGAGCCTGAAGGTGCGGAGACGAGAGACGAAGAGCGGGTTCGTACACAGAGCGCGAGCTTTCTTTCTCCCTCCTTTTGTTTTTCTCACTGGATTAATCGTTGAGAGATGAGATCGTTAACGAACGACTTCTTCTCAGTAGGAATCTCGGGCCGAATGATTGAATAGTTTTTCGGCCGTTAGCAACCGTGAGTCGAAAGATTCTTTTTCATTCTCGAAGCAACGGACACGGTCAAGAAGACACGGCCGAAGCGCGACAGCCCGTACGTCGGATATATTTTATTTGGCTTTTAGAATTTCATCCAAACAATAGCGGCCGAGCTTGAAGAGAGCGCAAAAATTCCATAGCCTTTACGTTTCTATTCGCGCGCGTGCGCGCCTCTTCGCAGACGTAGCTATTTTCATAAAAAGCTCCAAGTGGTTTTCAGAACCGACGGAAATAACACCGCGTCTTTTTTTTCCGCTACGCCTTGTGTTTCGCCCGTGCTCTTTCGCCTCGATATATTTCGAGTCTCGCCGCTGTACAATGTACAGTGCCTTGGAAAAGAATGCGTCGAACGGAAGGCCGATTCGCGCGGGATGAAGTCTCGAAAACGAAGTAATCATCCTGCCACGTTTCCCCTCTTTCTCCCCCGGTGAAACGCAACGTCGCAATGTGTTTTGCAAGGAAAAAGCGACCGAGATTTCCGAAGGTCGAGTACTCTCCTCAACCTTCGGTTTGAAGAGCGAGAAGTTTTCCGAAGTGAACTTCAAAATTCAGCACTTCCGATGAAACTTCACGCCTCGCGCCAAGTGCCTGACATTGATAACCCTTGGACAGTAAAAGTTTCGCAATTCGCCAATCTCTCTTTCCTCAAATGGCCATCTCGATGGTTCTTAATCGAATATCTCTGCAGCTCTCCCTCTCACTCTTTCCCGCTGCTTCGATTGTGAAAGCGTCTCGATGACTCTCGGGTAGAGCTGTGTCGATCGAACGTCCTCCGCGTGCAGCACTTGGACCATCACATCGTCGAGACCATCCGGAACTTTCGGATCGAACGTACCTCCCGGTAATTTTCGCGTCTTCTCCCAAACGTCGTCGGTCGGAGCTTCCGCGCCTCGTTGTGTAGCGTAGTCTTCACAGCGCTTTCGGACACGTCCGTCCATCGGCGGGCTTACGTAATTGGTAGCAGGTGGCGAACGACGGAAGGTGGTTGGCCCACGCAGACGAGCACGAAGAGCACGACCGCGCTGGCGGCGTCGTGGTCGTCGGCGTCTGCGTCTGCGACGGCCGCTATAAATAATCGGGGGAATCCCACGGTGCCAGAAGATATCGGCGTGTTCTCGGGCGCGAGCAAGAGAGAGAGAGAGAGAGAAAAAGAAAGACAGAGACGACACGCCCGCGAAAATATTCGCGGCTGTGATTTTCGCTTTTCGATCCTGACGGAGACGTCGCAACTGAGCGCCTTCTCTCAGCGCACTTTGATCTAAATAATAATTTAGAATAGGTTTTCTCGTTAATAATATTAATAGATTTTAATAAAAGCTTAAAAGAAATTAGGCTCTTATTGGCCCATTAATATTATTAACAATTGAATGTCAACACAGAGTCTTTTATTTATCTCTCATTAATAGATTTTCTAAATTTCTCGCAATGAAATTTCACTTCTTTGGAATTAAATTCACCCTAATCGATTGAAACATCCACTAAGAATCCGCCGTAAGCTTGGACGAAACATTCGCTCTTATGATTCCGCGTGGCGATATTATCACCGCAGCGTCGGGTGAATTTCACCCTCGTTTCGCGTGAGATTTTACCGCGAGAAATTCAGAGAGCACGAGAGCGATATTCGACACGTATCGGACCGGTAACGCGGAATAGATTCGCGAAGGCGTAAATAACGAGCGAGCGGATCTCGGAGAATTCTCCTTGTCGCGCACGGCCGATGATTAATAGATACAGCGGCGGCCGTTTTTCACGGAAAGCCCCGACTTAATTGATTTCTCCTGTACGCCCACGAGACATTGTCGCGAGCCACGCGTGTACTGCACGCCCCGCCAAGCCGTGCTTTTACACCGATCGATATCTCCGCGATTGACGGAGCCCAGCGAGTCGAGTCTTTATTATCCTAACTCTGAATCAAGGTGCAAGTGGGTTAGCTCGAAAGCTCGGTCGTTCGTGCGTTCGTTCGCCAGCTCGGCTAACTCGCTAGCTCGTTGAAGCGTGTTCCGTCCATCGATCGAACGAGCGTCGGCGAACATTGTGACGTTGGCGTTGGCGACGGAGTGCTCCTTTTCTACGGTTGTATTCTTCGGCGTGTAGAGGGTGGGAAAGACGACCCAGATCGCTCGGAGTGACGCCGGAGAGATAGACGGCTCCCTCTGTCAAGTTGCTCTTCTATTACGTATATCAACGGTAGACACAGTTATCTTTAACGATTTACAGTCACCGTCGTCGCCGTGTCGTCGATGATTCCGTGGACTTGGCGCCATGCGTTTCTTCATCCTCTTCTCTTTTTACTGTCATTCTCCCTCGTTGCGGTTTTCGTCGCTAGCGAGCTTTTTATTCAGCGGGCCTGGAGGAAAAAGATATGGGGAGTAGGGAGGAGGCGGTTCCATTTGTGCAATTGCATCGTGTTTTATCGTTCGGAGACGTTATCGCAGCAATTCCTGCTAACATATAAACACACACTCGCTCGTAGCAGGGAGCTCTCGTACCCGTTCGACCAAGAACGATAGATAATGGACGACTGGATGGTTTTCCAATTTGAGAGATAACAGGTGCGCTTTTGTTTCTCTCCACGTCGCCGCGATAAACGAGGTTTAAACTCTCGCGAGAAGTGTTCGCAATTAATGCGAACGGGCGAGCAAGCTCTATGTGCACATAGTATTGCATCGCTCTGTGCTATCGGTGTTAGGTACTCTTGAACGTTTAGGATTTTGTCAAATATACGTGTTAAGTCGATAAAAAATTAGGTTCAACGTTTGAGTGAAATTTCATTTCATTTCGTGGAAGCATTCATCGGCCGAGTAATCGTCGTTGTTTTCTAATTTTTCGCCAGCGTTCTGGAAACATCGTTAGAATAATTAAGGCAAGTTGGAGCTAACGTAGTTAGAAGTGCGTGAATATTAATGTCAGTGATCGCTCGAGATGAAAGAATTTTAACTTCGAACGTTTCGGTCCCACTCTTGGACCAACTTCATTGAGCGAAATTAGTTTTGACATGGTGTATTCGTTTAAATAAGTAAACTAACGCGTCCAGAGATCGATTAATTAAAATGCCAAATTCTGTCGTACTTTAATTATTTTAATCGTACATCAGAGTTTTTCTATCTTAGTTCTAACGACGGAACGTTATCATTGTTACTTGAATCGCATATATGTGATACAGTAATTAAATAATTACATTAGATGCATACGCTAATTAAAAATCGAGCTGAACTTTTCGACTGATCAAAAATGAATGAATTAATTTGGCTATTATATAGATGCATTTTATTTTATTTTATTTTGACTTCGTCATTCAACTGTCATGCATTGCATATTAAAGTGAATCCGGATCGAGTCTCGGTGCTTTCTTCAGGTCGAGCTTGAGCCCGTCCAACTCGGCTACTGAGTACGGAAACATTAAACTGATTTACGGCAGTTAGGTGGCCGATTATTTAAATACACGGGCGTCGTTAAACCGCCCGCGGATTATTCCGCGACCGCACTAATCTCTCGCGGGACGTGCAATTTGTAGTCGAATATCCAGCTTGCACCGTTCTAATTTAAATCCCGGTGCTAATTCGATTCGAATTGGAGCCCCTGTTCTCTCCGGTCTCTATCCTCTCTCTCTCTTCCTCTCCAATTTCGGTAATTCGCTTATCCGGTCGGCGGCTCCTCGGCAATAGGAAATACAACGGAGGCCCGGCCGCCTTACACCACACCGCACTTTTTGATTTCTGCGACTTCTCTGCCACGTTTCTCTGACGTTGATTAATGCCTGTTTATGTACACGTAAGTCACCCACGCGCAGCCGCGCGTAACTGACGTTGACTGAGCGCGTACAAATGATACGGTTTCGATTATCCGCCGCGCTACAAATATCGCGTGCATTTTGCAACCGCGCCCTTGAGCGAAACGTATTATTAGATAGTTGCACGTGAAATATCGCACGTGTCGCCCTCGCGCGCTTTTTCTCGAGATCACTTTCAGCCGCGATATACGTAATAACAAGCGACGTCGCGGCCCCGCTTATCGAATTATTCACGCGACTAACACACTAATACATTCCTCGATCTTTCCATGTTGCAGACAATTCGGGGGGTCGTGAAGTGTTACCAGCGGGCAGCTGCAGCAGCAGCATCGTGCTGAGGACGCGCAGCCGCGTCTGTCCTGGCCTTCTTCTGGCAGGTGTTTAATCGCGCTCGCCACGAAAAAGGGCTCTCCCTGACTGAGTATTATTCCGTCGCTGCACTACCAATCCGGCGTCCAAAGTGGCTAAGAGCGTAAGTCCCCGTCGCGCGCTCCAGGAGTGCTCCAGCGGGGTGGAGGTGCAGGTGCCGCAGCAGGAAAGACGAACACCGAGGCGCATGCCTTACCTGGGGCCTGACATGACAACCCGGCTGTCCGCCATGTTTTACACGGTCGAGGTCGGGGACACCAAGTTCACCATCCTGAAGCGGTACCAAAATCTCAAGCCCATCGGCTCGGGCGCGCAGGGAATAGTTTGGTGAGTAACAGCCATCCGCGACGATTATCCGGTAGATTTAATCGAATGCGTGGACGAACGAGAAAATTCGAAGGAGAGACACGTGTCGTTCCCGACGGAACGGTACCGATGCGTCGCGCGAAAAAAAAATAACTCCGTACTGTCAGCTGAAGTACAGCGGCTTGGCTGAAAGGATTGATCATTTCGCTATGTTGCTAAAGTTGGTTCATTGCTTGGCTATTATTCTTATGATTAGTCGGGATAAAGGTGCATTCACGGCGAAATAAAAATTTGTAAGCTGAAATTCCGATATAATAGGAAGAATAATAAGAAAGAAAAAGTCAGCCGTTCTTAGGCTCGCATTAATAGCCGTTACTTGAAACTTGCCTTAAGTAGGATATTCGAATATAAATTTAGAATCAGATGTGAATGTTTCAGTTTAATTGCAATTATAAATGCAATCTTGCATATATTATGTGATTCAAGTGGAAAATTCATATCAAACTTTAAATTCACATCCGAGCATCTCACCGGAGACAATTTTTTTTTTTAAATAATTATTAATACAGGCCTCAAATATCTCTTCATATACTCGTACTGAAATGTCATTTATTTCTGGCAGCGAGTATTTTCTCACTGTAGCGCCTGAATGCAAGCAGCTAATAAGTTGAACTTCGGTAGCAAGAACATTAGCAGTCTCTATGTCGAAGAAACATTTCAGCTACCACGGCTACTATATCTTAGCTCCTTCTTTTCATCCTTTTTCTGCGTGCATAGTCCTTTCGCTTGCGAAAGCTCGGGCGATCCTCGGAAACGAGACGAAGACCTTCGCGAGGTAATAAAATGAAGAATCGTGGAAACTCGGACGACCCAGTTTCGCACAACGTTCCTCTCCGTGTGCTTTGGTTACAAGCAATATTGCGTCGCGGAGTTATAGCGTCGCAGAAAACAGTAGGGAAAAAAACAGCGAAACACAGCGATGCTAATAAATAACTTTTCCCTTATGCGAACAGGATTTATTTGAGACGAGTATGTATCTATTGTAGGGATTAAATTATACTTGCATATACGACGTGCTTTCGAATCGGCGTATATAATCGCAAAGTCCTGCTCCAACGCGAAAACAAACGCTCGAACTCTCAGACTCTGTTTCAAAGTATACGACGCAGCGCGACGATTCAACTCTTTTCTTTTCGACTCTGATCACGATGACTTCTTAAGATAGTTGATGCGTAGAGTATTGGATTTTCAGTGACGATATTAAGAGGAACTCCTTTATAATTTTGTTACTTACTGTGATAAAGACTTTTCTGTAATTTTATTTAACTGTCTAAATAATAAATGTTAACTTTGAGCTAAAAATTATATATAAATCTATATATACATAATATTACAAACATGGAGATATTATTTATTTTGTATTTTTCTTAATACTTTATTTTTACGTCAGTTGAACAGAGCTGCATATATAATAGAGAAAGTTTATAAATATTTAAATATGTATATATGTATATATCTCGCGGGCGTTACTATAAATTGTAAATTTTCTATAACCATATCTTCAAACAAAATGATCAAAAATTCTAAAATTTTTATATATAATATTTTTATATTTTTATATTAGTCCTTAATATCACAATAGTTTTTCATTAAAATCCTAAATGTGGTTCAAAAGAAATTAAAAATAAAAGTTAAAACAAGATATTAATCTTAAGGAACACGTATAATAAAAAGTGTCATATTCAGTTACAAATATCTCAGCTTGCGATGATAATAGAAAAATGACACGCATGAACAAGTTGCACGAGAAATATAAAAAAATGTAAGCAAAATATAAGAAATTTAAAAAGTATAAGAAACGGAGGAAACATATCAGAGATAGAAAGAGAAATATAAATCTGCAAAGACACTGCCAACGATTCTTGCGTTCGCTTGAAATACATTTTAACGCTTTCTGTAAAATTCAAAATACCACACTGGCATCTCACGTACCCGCGTTCGATCTACATATCGCTGAAACTAGCAATAATGTTCGAGCATCCGTCGTGCGCGAAAGTTTCCAGGCGGATTCGGGTGGGTATCTGCGCGACGCGAACGTATATCACTGGATGCCGATATATTTTGAAGAGGGAAGAGAGGAGAGAGTTAACCGCGACTTCTCATCTCCGCGATTTCGAGCGACCGAACGTTGTCGGATCAATCGATCGATCGATCCTGCGGAAAGCAACAGCGGGAGATACCATTCGACACGGATGAAAGGCACGGGGCGCCGAGTAAATCGGGCAATTCGATTCGAGGGGAAATGTCAGGATTTTGCGGGAGTCTCACGGCAGGAGCGCAGAGGACGAGAGAGAGAGAGAGAGCGCAGAACGCCCTTTCCTTGTAAGCCGACGACGTGATGTTGGAAAAATCGTTGCTGACGACGATTTTACGACATGTGCGCGTCGTCGTCGTCCTCGTTCTCCTCGTCGCCATCGAAACTCGATCTCGAAGTCATATAAAAGAGCGAATTAGATCGACACTGCTCTTTTGTTTTTATAAATATCCGAACATTCGTATAATGCTTTTCATATCGCATTTGAACAGTTTTTATAGAAAAACTAAAATAAATTAACTTTTATACGGGGAAATTTCTAATTTCTTTAAAATCCTTTTAAAATTTCGCCGTGAGAAAATTTTAAAAGGAAATTAACGAAGCACATTGTTTTGTTTTTAATAACTCAAGAAGACCAATTTAAATGCGAAGTCGCTTTTCTGAATTTTAGGATAGATCTCCTCAGGTCTTCGATAGAGTATGTTGAACTGTTGTCACACTAAATCCTCCAAGTTGCTCCTGAGATAGATCCGACCTATTTCGCGAGTGGCCAACATCCTCCTTGCCTTAGTTCCCATGCCTCACCATCGCCCGGGTTATTAGCGAATGTATATGTGTGTGTGTGTGTGTGTATGCGGAAGCGTCGGTGGACCAAACTCGGGAATGATTGAAATTCACGACGAACAGTATCGATCGCGGATGGGCGAAGGGTGAGAGGAGGATGGGAGCCATGCGAAGGTCCACGTGAGCGTCTCTCCCGGTTGCAAAACCATCCTCGGTTGCGCACGTGTCTCGCCTTTCGACGCCCAATAGGGACTGAAATACTGCATTATCCGAGAAAGCGCAATCTCGAACAATACACGGTGGCCGTGGCGTGCAGTGGGGTGGCAGGTAAGTCTAACGGACAAACGAAGCAACAAACGTACGAACGAACGGTCGGACGGAGGGAATGCGGATATCGGTTTTCGATAAAATTCTACCGGTGCGGTCCATTACGAGCAACATGCGAGTCCCGTCTCGTCTCGTCTTTCGAGAACCGAGCCTCTTTCGAGCTGAAGTGAGGGAAAAGGGTCACCCTGTGCACGGAAGGTAGGTCAGGATGCGCGAGGAAATCGGCTAACGACGGCCGGATATTATTCCGGCTTGTGCCTCGTGTGTTAACCCGGATGGTGATCGATGAGAGGTATCGCGCGAAGGAGCAGAATTGTTCGCGACATTAAAAAAATTTCATTATCCCGTTAAGACAGCACGTCTCTCTTTCCCGAGGTTTGATTAAAGTCGATTACAGGAATCTATTTTACGAGCTATTTTATGTACGTATTTTTGTTTCTCCATAAAGAAAATTGGGGTCGAGCTGTATCGATCTGTTTGTTTGGACCGCGTTTCGTTATTATTACAGGTGAATCGCGAAAATAATTGGTCGATTTGAAAGCATAATAATTTAATAACACTTATGAGAGAATATATGTGTGCTATATTAACGCGTAAGGAGCGACGCGATTCTCCCATTTTAAACGCGAAAGATTCATTCGTCGTATCAGACTTTGAAGTCGCGGAGTTTCTCGAAGGCGGAGGGTTAATGATTTCTCGAAATATCAGCGAGTATGCCCGGTGGCTCTTACCGTTATCCCGTCGCAAGGGCGGTAGAGAAAAGAGAGAACGGAAGGCGGAGAAAAAGAGGGCGGGAGGGAGGATGCTCGTTTGATCGCGTTTAACCGGCCGTCGAGTACGATTTCTCTGCTCACGAGGGAACGATTCTGGTAGCGGCGACGACGACGACGACGACGACGACGTTCCCGAGGTAGAATATTCTGTAGTCGTCGCCGTGAAGAACCACTCATACCTTCGCAATTATAAACATTCGATGGAAAAATCTGCGTGCCTTTCACATGCTTCCTCCCGCTGCGTAGAGTGCGCTCTTCCAACGGTACTTCTGCGGTGCCGCTCGTTATTATTCCGGTTTGACGATACTTCAATATTGAACTCGTTCGCCAATCATGATCATTTAACGAACTGCGATATTTCGCGAGTTCAATGTCTCTCGTAGAATCGATTTTCACGATGATAACGCACGGATATCTCTCCCCCGTCGATTTTGCAAGCACATTTACACCGGGCAGCACGATGTTCTAAAAGTCGGGATACAATCTATCCGCGGGAAATGTCACAGAGAATCGTCCCGAGAGAGTGACTCAATTTGTCTGAATGTATTTTTGTATGATTTTATACGAGATGGCATGATTCGGTGAGTACGAGAGGAAAGATATTCTCCTCTCGACGATAATGAGCGACACACGAGGAGCACACACAGTCACAATCGTCATCCCACGCTGACCGATCATTATTTTACTTTTGCAGCTGATTTGCTTGTTCTCGCATGGTTCTTGGATCCATCCACTTTCTCTCGCAACTAATTGGTTCGCCAACGCGAACGGCCGCTCGGCAGAAAAGCGCGTAAACCGTATGGATGGTTCCGACAATCAAGCACACGAGAGTCGCGCGGCACGAACTCAAAGGGAATCCGAGAGATCTTTGAAGGATTGCCAGGTGGAATGGCCTAACTCGCTTTCTCGCGTTTCGAGTTCGTTCCAAGAGTTATACATCACGCTCGTTTATCCTTTGAGAACGCTGTCGGTGACGTTGTTGCGGCGGACGACGGAGAAAAATCACGTTCCGCGAAGCCCGCGCGGAAATTTTGCGCAACCGCTGCCCTCTTCCACTTAGCGACTCGGCAGCGAAGCGCGAAGTATAATTTAGTGCTTCTGTATGCGAGACCGCACCCTCGCGCGAACTTGCGTTTCCGCGATAAATAAAACGTGCGAGGTGCGCGAGGTCGCACGCATGAGACAAATCGCAATATCACGGAGATAAATGACTGAAAATTTGGACCTTCGATCGCACTTTGTGAAAGCCTTGGATCCCGCCGGCGGCGCTTGGCAACCCAATTTGAAATTTTCTCCGTCGCTGCGTGGCTTCATCATACGATTTTTCTTTTTTTTGCCGCATTATTGTTAGCCTGTAGTCCTTGTCGTTGATTTGGTAGCTACAGCACCGCGGTATACTGCCTAAGATTAAGGCACCAGAGAGAAAAAGAAAGAAAGTGTGAGAGAGGGAGTGAGAGAAAGAGAGTGAGAAGGACGGAGAGAGCAAAAGAGAAAAGATAGAGAAGGCAAGAGCGAACGAAGCTCAAAGAGCGCGACCTTTAAGGTAACACGATGGCGACGAATCCGACAGAATCGAGCAATGTTAGAAGCGGCTATCGTCACAGCGTTTTCGGCGACACCGTGTTTTGCATGCCCGAGAGATACGTCGATGTCGTGCCACGTGGCATCGGCGCTCAGGGTACTGTCTGGTGAGTAAACTCCATGTCGGCCACCGATCACTGCGTCTATGTGTCCATTTAACACTCTCACTAATCTTGATACATTGTTTTATATTAAGACGAGCTTAATGCAAAATATTTCTAACTTTCTGTGAAAATTATATTTCTATTTTTATTTATTTACACAATTCAAGATAAATTCTCTTCGTACAAAACACGAGGCATTTTTTTTTATGCGAAGATGCGCCTCTCTGGTCTCGTTAGATTTTGCTTTAATCGTAAATTGCGTTAAACACAGGTCGATATTACTCGTTGAAACTAGACAAAATTTAGACACTAACAATTATCTTTCTTTTTTGTTAATCATTCGGTTATTATTCAAGTTTGATTGTTGATTTTAACTGAGGCTGCGAGGTCGCGTGAAAGGTCGATTGCGATCGAACAAAAGCGCGACTGACCGGTCGATCGCGTCTCTGTTGCAGCGCGGCGTACGACACTGTCACTGCGCAGAATGTAGCGATCAAGAAGCTGTCCAGACCTTTTCAAAACGTGACACACGCGAAGAGGGCCTACAGAGAGTTCAAGCTGATGAAGCTGGTCAATCACAAAAACGTGAGTTTCTCGCAACATTCGGTCTCGATTCCGTCATCACGATAATTCTCGATACGTGACACGCAATCATTCTGGACATACATACGTCGCATCTCATCACGCACGCAAAATAACTATTCGAAAAAAAATATCAAAATCAAAATAAAAAGACGAAAAATACAAATTTGTGCAATTATCATTCGTTTAAATTTCAAATATGTAAAATAAAAATTGCATAGAAGTAAATCAAGAGATCTCACGCTATTTCTCAGAGATACATCATATATGCAAGGTAACTATTGCACCGAATAATATTCGCAAAAGATATTAAAAAGTCAGAATATGCGCAAAAAATAAAAATGTTGACCATCCGTTTAAATTCCAAACGTATAAAATAAAAATTGCGGAGAAGCAAATAGAGAAATGCCGCAGCGAGGATATTCATGACGCTCCGCGTTACTCGCGAGTTTTCAGAACTACTCTGCACATACGTAGAATATTCATATGGAAAACATATCATATATTTTATAATTATCATCCCTTCAGATTCCAAACGCGTAAAATGTCAAGATGTTGCACAGACGTAAACGTCGCGGCGATGCTCGCGAATCTTTGCGCTGTACGGAGAAAATATTGTAGCAAAAATTACCGCAAAATTTTGTATCTTGTCATCTTTGGTGACGTATATCGCGTGTTCACATCATTACAATACACACGATAATTTCAGTCATAATTCCGGTCCAGCATTGCAAAATTTTGTGGTAATTTTTATTACAATATTTTCCCCACGCATCCGAGCTTTCGGAGCTATGTTACATACGCGGCGTAACTATTCGAAAAACATATCGTAATCAAACTAAAAACGCGATAAATAAGGATTTTACAAGTCGTACATACATTTGTTCAGATTCCAAACGTAAGACGACAATCGCACAAACGCAAATAGAGAGATGTCGCGGCGACGTTACCCGCGAGCTTTCAGAGCTTTCAGAGCCGTCACTTACCTCGATCGTATTCCCGCAACCACCTCCGGCAGACACCCGATTTGCCGATACCTAATTCACGACGTCGTCTCGTTGCAGATTATCGGTCTCCTGAACGCGTTCACGCCGCAACGGTCTCTGGACGAGTTTCAAGACGTATACCTGGTGATGGAGCTCATGGACGCGAATCTGTGCCAGGTGATCCAGATGGATCTGGATCACGAGCGCATGTCCTACCTCCTCTACCAGATGCTGTGCGGCATCAAGCACTTGCACTCCGCCGGCATTATTCATAGGGTGAGTTCGCCAAGCGTTCGCGCGTTTTCGCTCCTTGCTGTCCCCCACGATGAAAATTGCATAACGGCCAGGCCGTTTAATCTGCCGTAACGAGATTCATTACCGACGCTACTGTTACCACTGTGCATAGCGCGCTCGCGTTTGTTTTGTCCCACATTTGTCGTTTGTCGTCGGCGAAAGAAAATGACCGTCGCGTCGTTCCGATTAATTTCACCCGCTCCTCCCCGGCACTCCTGCCCTCTACCATGTCGCGCGTAATAGAATAACTAAAACCGACCTCGCTCATTAAAAATGGCAGCGTATAATCACACTCGGCGGAGGATTAAAATTCATACCGCCGGATAACAACGCGCCGTGAACGCCGTTAATTCGTTATTCAACTAAACGAGCGGCCATGTGTCATCATTTGATTTGATTTCGCCGGGGCGGTCTTTCCGCGCGATCTCGCAGATGGATCTTCAAAATTACCCGATAAGCAAAATATTAGCAGTAGGCCGGCAGATTGGAGACAGATTCGGTCAGAATACCGTGGCAGATCCATCTGTGACCAATGCATTAAGGTAGCTGGTTCGTAGATTTTTTATGGCGATATTAAAGGACGATATTAAACATAAATTAATAATAATAATAACAATGTGTGTGTTTAAAGAATTCGGAGTATATTAATTAATTACTAATTAAATTAAAAGTAATGTAAACCGAGTATATACTCAAAAGACGAGGCGGAAGCATACATTTTTATGATGCCCATAAAGAAAGATAGTTTGACGAGCCAACCTACCTATCTTAAGCTCGTGTTTTATCGACACCATCTTCTGATATAATTTGACAGCAGATTGTCGGCAGAAACCGAGCGTAATCTGCGGTATGTTCCATTTAATTACATTTAAGTGATGACGGAACGACAGATTCTACTCAGTTCTTGCTGTCAATCATTATACACTGCCGGTAGATTCTGTATTTCCGTTAGCGAACTGCAAGCAAAATTTACAGCAGATACCGCGCAAAATCTGCTTCTGCAAATTTAGCTATCCGAGCTAATTTTAGTCGGTGAATTTTTTCATCGTCGATCTTTATCCAAAGATTCTGTTTCGTTTCTCGCGCAGGATTTAAAGCCGAGCAATATTGTCGTGAAGTCGGATTGTACGCTGAAAATCCTCGACTTCGGTTTGGCGAGGACCGCCGGTACCACATTTATGATGACGCCCTACGTCGTCACCCGATATTACCGGGCGCCGGAGGTGAGTCGGATTTCTTCTCGCTCTCTCCGTTATCTCCAACTACGATTTTTTGCCCTACGCCCTCTTGTCTCGCTGACAGGTAATCCTCGGTATGGGATACAAGGAGAACGTGGATATCTGGTCGGTGGGCTGTATCATGGGAGAGATGATACGAGGCGGAGTGCTCTTTCCGGGCACGGATCACATTGATCAGTGGAACAAAATAATCGGTAAGACAATCCTTTTGGCGACACGATCGATCTCGCGAAATAGTCGAATACTCGAAGAGGAACATCCTATAGATTAGCAAACGAAAACAAAATTTAGTATCGAGTCGTTCCTCATCCTGAAGAAGTAACCTGAAATATTCGAAATGTCGGGAACAAATCCTTAAAGGACTTGGAAGTCAAATTAAGTATTTTTCCACAGCATGAAAGCTTAAAATGTCAGAGCAAAATTCAAGCTTCCGAATATATGATATTTTTAATTTTTTTTTTTTAACAAATGCTTTGCTTAACCAATTAAATTTCTCACAAACGTCTTCGCGCGAACCGTTTTCACACTTAATTCAGAGAACAATCGTAATTTTCGTCGCGTTCTCCCTTGTCTGCAGAGCAACTGGGCACTCCGGCGCAAGAATTCATGCAACGGCTGCAGCCTACCGTCAGGAATTATGTGGAGAACAGGCCACGATATCCGGGCTACCCCTTCGAAAGGCTATTTCCGGATGTGCTGTTCCCTTCGGACTCGTCGGAGCACAATAGATTAAAAGGTGAGTAGGTCACGAAGTCGACGTCCGCGTCGCGGAATCGATCGGGACACGCGTGCTGACGGACGCACCTGTGCTTTTCGTACGAGGGACAGAGAGAAAGAGGGGGGGGGGGGGGGGGNACGCGTGCTGACGGACGCACCTGTGCTTTTCGTACGAGGGACAGAGAGAAAGAGGGGGGGGGGGAGGTGGGAGGATAGAGGAGAGAAATGGAGAGTTTCCCGCATTTTGAGCCGCCCTCGCTCATTCTTCTCTTCGTTTTTGCTTTCTTCCAGCGAGCCAAGCCAGGGATCTATTGTCGCGCATGCTCGTGATCGACCCGGAGCGACGCATTTCCGTCGACGAGGCGTTGCTGCACAATTACATAAACGTCTGGTACGACGAGGGAGAAGTTAATGCCGTAAGTAGGCAGTGTCGATTGATCGCGATTCGCCTCTTCCAAATCGGGCCGCTTTTCGCTTCTCGATTCGCGGATATGTCTGTGCCGCGCACAGGTGTATCGCGCCGATAAAATCCGGATGCGTTTTTCACGCGGCGATAAAGGAGAAACGTCGCCGTAAAGAGCGCCAATCGGTTTTCTTTCCAGCCCGCACCGGGACCATACGATCACAGCGTGGACGAAAGGGAGCACACGGTGGATCAGTGGAAGGAGCTGATCTACCAAGAAGTCATGGAGTACGAGACAAGCCACAATCCTGCGGCGGTAGCTGCATCGTCAGAGAGCTCTGGGAGCCGGTAGATACAGCGGAGCCCATCGGACTCCTTCTCGTCGAGGAAGCATCCCGACAGTCTGACTTACCGCGTCGACATGGCCGGAGCGTAGAGAGGAGGAGAGAGAGTGAAAGGGAGGGAGGAAGAGAGGAAGAAGAGAAAGAAAAGGAAGGAAGGGAAGAAGGGGAAGGTGCGTCGACGTCCACGGGATATCGGACGCTACCGATCCGACCTCTCCTTCGAGAAGAGGAGGAGCTGATTCTGTCGAGCGTCGCCGGGAAATCGCGGAGGGCTTCCTCGGGCAACGCACGCGTGACCGGAGCAGCAGACGGAGACGTCGTTCGCGCGCTCGTCGCACCCGAGATCTTCTCTCTGGCCTCTCTTCGCCGAGCGACCTCCGCTGAGAAGCAGGATCCGAAGGCAGTTTTCCGCAATGAGAACGACAGAGAGAAAGAACGGCCCTTTTTCGCGCAGGCGAACCGCTGTGCGGGACCCGGGACACCCTCCTCGCTCTTTTTCGTACATTTCATACGAGACCGCGGAAGTGAAGAAGGGAGAATCGCACAGGAGGGAGAAGAAGAGATCGTGCGTCCGGGAAGAGGATTCCTTTCTCCTGGGTATCCTCCCTTGGCCAGTCGCTTTCAGAAAGAAGAAGAGGATCGAAGGGAGCGAGCGATCGAACTGCCGTTGGACGAAGTTATCGTTGCAAGTTGTCGTCCCCTCAACTACTGCCAACCTGGGTTGGACCGAGGCTCTCTCTCTTACCCCCTCGATTCGTCTCTTCGATCGGCAAACGCGCTTCCCGAACACCTTCCGGCGGCATGCCCTTTCACCAGAGCCCTCGGTCTCACGGCACGATATTTCTACCTCAGTCCCTTCACCGCGTCCGCTTGACTCTCTCTCTTCTTTAGTGCGAGTGCCCTTATTCGCTGTCCGATTTGAAGAAAGCTGCGTCGACGACCATGCATGAACATTCGCGCTGTTGTTCCCGATCTCCCCGTCGTCCGATTTGGACGACGCTCTCTCGCAGCGCATTTTATAGCAATAAAGTTGACGTGGGAATGCAGAACCAAGCTAGAAATATCGTACCTCGGGCGAGGCTCCCTCCAAGTCTTATCATCATCGGAGCTGGACCGTCCCTTTAATTCTCATATCCCGTTTCCGATGCCGAACGTTAAGGGCGTTTTACCATGTTCGGGACGCCAAGGTAAGGAGGATCGATCTGAGAAGCACTGTCGATCCGGCCGATCGGCCGTCGTCGTCACCGAAGGGAGAATCCGATCGAGTGCGTTTATCGTTTGCGCGCGGACAACATATATACATATATTTTTCGTACCATTGTTAAGCACGGGAACACACACTTCTCAATCACGTATATATTATAACTCAACGCGACTATCCTACGACTTTCGGGTACGGTGATCACGGTACAAAGACCACGTAAGGGAATAAGGAGAAATTTATCACAGAGCTTATAGTTGCTCGATCGTATCCCGTCGGTCGCGGCGGCCGACCGCGTGGACGATCCGTCGAAGCGTCCGAACGAATTCCGTTGGGGCCGCAGATTCGTCTCGGGCGAGCGAGCGAGGGAGGGAAGAAAAAAATCGGAGTTTGGTACATATATAAATATATATTATATACATGTGTGTATATTAATTTGTGAACCACACACGGTTCTCTATGTAGGAGACGCGTGTCGCGCCCCCCGGGATGAGCGCGAGCGACGCAGAGGGAAACCGAAGCGCGATACACGTTTGCAAATATACCGAGTCGTTGGAAAACGAGATCGACGGTGAGGTGTGAGAAATTTTTGTACATAAAATAATTCCCGCAAACGAGGAAACAAGAATCGAACGAGCGGGAGAAAATAAAGAAGCGAAGAAAGAAAAGGTTGGACGTGCCGCGAACGAGAGTGTCTGCGCGATCTCCCGCGACACCCATTCTTCTCGTCTCCGCTCTGTGCGCTTTCATCTCAGTCGTCATCAGTGCCAGTAACGGATGCGGTCGAGTACTCGTTGTTCGTATCATTTCGTGTAATCGTTGAAGGATTGGCGAACGCGCGGTCGCTGCTTTATTTTAATCGGGACGACG